GAGGTATTCCCTTTCCGGTAGTCTGGTGTTACTCTGACATCTAATGTCGTTCTTTCTTTATATTGAAACTGCTTTCACTAGAATTTGTAAATTACTTTATTATATCCCTTGTTAACGTTCCTATCACACACCTCAAATTCTAACCGGACGATTTATAGATACTAGCATTCCTTAGGTTTCTCCCGTTATCTTTCCATCCTTGTTTAAAAAAGACTTACTGAGTTTCGGAATCTCCCTAACATGCTCTCTTCAGCTGTCTGTGTTCCTTATGCTTTTATAATTGATATTATGACGAAAATTTACAACAGTCACGAAATCTGGTGTTCGAATCCTTGATGATGTTTTCCAACGCCTCCTCGCTGACTTGATGGCTGCAGAGCCTTTCCGTGCTATGCACCTAGGCTTCCGACATATGTCTTTTCTGTACATCGGCATATGAGCCTTCTGTTCTGTCAGCTCTAGCACGCTACTTCCCATAAACTGAAATACAGAAACTGATATTGGGACTGTCTCCATAACAAATGTATATTTTATATAAACCCTTAGATTCTAGTGTATTTTGCTAACTTATCCTGTGGTCTCAGTCAGCGGAGCCCTTTTTGCTAAAAATGTTGGGTGCAACTTGCAAAATAAAGCGTTTTTTCGTTCCGTCTCCAGATTGTATTCTGAATGCAGTGAAAATGTATTTGTCTGTTTGAGTCCAGTTGTTCATTACCGGAACAAATGTTACCCACGGAAAGCGGAATCTGCTGACTGTAGGCCAAACGGTGCGGTTTTAGGTGGCAGATAGTGGTTCAATGGTTAGGGTGTTGGACTCTGATCAAGAGGTTACGAGTTCGAGGTTCAGTTGGTACACCACCACTTCGGGTTGGATATGACTGGCTATAACAATTAATAAGCCAGAAATGGCCATTCCAGTCTCCCTTGACTTTGTCGGCAGCACTATCTGCCTATACTACTAGCCGTTACGATTGCTGTCAGGGCCCGAGTGAGGAGGCCCAAAGCAAAGGCGGAGCAGGACAAGTGAGTTTCGTTAGCGGTCGGTGGACATTCATCAATGAGTGTCAATATCGCCCCATATAAACCGACAAGACAACGAGCTCGTGGCTCAGTGGTTGGGGCGTTGGACTCAGATCAAAAAGGTCGCAAATTTGAGGCTCCGGTTAGACACCACTTGAGTATGGGTAGAAACGGCTAACGACGGCTAATAAGTCAGTAATAGCCATTCCAGTCTCCCTTGTCTTTGACGGTAATACTATCTACCAAATGATTGCTTTCAGTAGCCAGAAGCCAGTGCGGTATTTTGATATGGAAAGTGATGCTCGCCAACCAACAAGGCTTCATCCACCGCGGTCCAGCATAATCCTGAAAATATAAATTATTGCACCAGAGAAGCGGATAGAGACATCCATAGTTTGAGGCGAATGCTCGCATTTCATGTGTAATTATAAAGATGGAAGAAGAAGAGGCAGAAAAAGAATACTGTTTGATAGTCGCAACCATTCGAGATATCGATCTTGCACCGGTTTACAGAGCCCCATGCAAT